GTTATTTCTCCATTTGTATGACACAAATCCATCTCTATCAATGGTAGTTTCACTTAAAAACTTCTTTGGATAACGTTTGCAACAAACTCCATCCACCATACAAGGAGCATTAGGATTGTATGCTCCACATGGTCCATGCATCATGCATCGTGTGATTGTCTGATAAGCAAGAAAATCTCTATTCTTATAAGGAATTTCAACAGATATGAATGAATCAATTCGCTCAATTGAGTTGGGCTTATATCCGTCAGCCAAAGTAAGAAATATATGCGAATGAGGCAATCCTCTTTTCTGAAATTCTATGACATGAACATCTGTCATACATAAAATATTTTAGTAATTGTATGTAAAATTTTTTGGAATATTTTAATATATAAAAATTGATAATAGTCATAACTAAATTGAGTTTTTTCGGTCATATCAAACTTGCGCTTCATGGATAATTTAAAATCATCAATCATGCGAGGATTGTTCCCTGCAAAAATAAGATTGTCAACATATATACACAACACCAACTTATTGCCAATAGAAGTGACTGTGACATAAATAGCATGTTCACTTGGACATATTTGAAATCCGATTTCGGAGAAGAATGAATCAATCTGCATATTCCATACTCGCGGGGCTTGTTTGAGTCCATAGAAGGCCTTTTTCAATTTATACACCTTGTGCTCACTTCCATGCGATTGAAATTCGGGAGGCTGCTTCACATAAATCCCCTCTTGAAGTGGGTTGTGCAAAAATGCAAATTTTACATCCATTTGATGTATATTCCAACAATTTTCTGCAACTAAGGCTATCAACAACCTTATCGTCTCCATTCGAGCTACAGGCGCAAATACTTCTTGAAAGTCAAATCCGGGCCTTTGTTCATAGCCTTTCGCCACAAGCCTCGCCTCATACCTTTCTACTTCTACATTTGCCTTCAAATTCCTTTTAAAAACCCACTTGACATCGATGGGTTTGCAACCATATGGAGCATCCACAAGCTCCCAAGTATGATTTCTTTCTATGGAACTCAATTTCTCCTCCATAGCTTTCACCCATTTAGTATTTTTTATTGCATCGTCAACTGAGGCAGGTTCGCAATCTGCATACATAGCCATATGCACAATTTCTCTATCATTAGAAATGACATCATCAAAAGTTACCTCATAGTCACGTAGTGTGACTGGAATTTGTCGCTGACGCCTTGGTCTTTCATCGGAAGCATTGGCTTGTGTCGGCCTTTCATTGGAAGAATTGGCTTGTGTAGTTTCTTCAGCCATACTGTGAAATTCCACCTTGAGAAGCACCTTCAATTAATTCAACAGACCGGCTTTGGGTGACTTGAGGCAAACTCCAACTCCATGTTTCATCCTCTACAAAAATGACATCTCTACTGATGATGACTTTATTTGTTGTTGGGTTAAAAAATTTGTATCCGCCATGCGCATAACCCACAAAGATGGTCTTTTCTCCACGATCATCAAGCTTTGTTTGAATGGCCGCCGGAATGTGTACATAGACCACATAACCAAATACTTCAAATTTTGAACTTTAGGTTTTATTCCGCACCATGCTTCTACCAACGTCAAGTCACAAACAACTTTCATTGGAGACCGATTCAACAAATACACTGAACAAGCGACAACTTCTCCCGAAAAGGAATTTGGCAACCCTTTGGCTTTCAACATGCTTTTTGACATATCCAAGATTGTTCTATTCTTCCGTTCCGCAACTCCATTATACTGAGGAGTGTAGGGTGGAGTTATCTGATGCTCGATTCCATGATCATCTAGGAAACACTTGAACTCGAAAGATATATATTCACCGCCACCATCCGTTCGCAACCTGTTTATAGAAAAACCACTTTTTTTTTTTTTTTTTTTTTTCTACATGAGCTTTAAATTTCAAAAAGCTTGCGAACAATGCAGATTTCTTAGGTAGCAAATAAACCCAAATCTTTTAAGAAAAATCGTCAATAAAAGTCAAGAAGCTTGTGAACACTCATCAGGCCACAAACATCGGAGTGAACAAGACCCAATAAATGATTCGCCCGCCAATTACTTTCAGCTTTGAATGGTCGCCTACTTTGTTTTCCTGAAATGCATGCTTCACACCCTTGATTGGGGTGATCGATCTTTGGCAATCCTTTCACCATATTCCTTTGAGCAACCATTTTCAAGCTTTGAACATTCAAGTGACCAAAGCAAAGATGCCATAACCAAGACTCATCTTTCACCATTGCATTAAGACATGTATACACATCACTAGGAATATCAACATGAAACATACGATTCTTTGTTAAAGTGGTCTTCAAAATAAGTTTACCTTTTCTGTCGAGAATTGACAAATCACGCCCTTTAGAATGTATTTCATATCATTTCTCCAACAATTGGCCAATGCTTAGGAGATTAATTTTCATAGCAGGCACATAGAAGACCTCCGATATGAAACAGTGATCTCCATTCCTTAGCTTAATAAAGATGCATCATTTCCCCATAACTGGCACTGCTATCGTCGGCAAACTTTACTTAGGATCGGACTAATTCATCAAGTTCAACAAAAAGCTCGCGTCTACCGCACATGTGATTTGTACACCCGGTATCTAGAAACCATGTATGAGAGTTTGACACTTCATTGGTGGAAGTAACCATCGAAGGAGCATGGCCATGATCATCTTGATCATCATAATCTTGCGCATAATGCGCCTTTTGATCAATTCCTTTGTATCTGCATTCATTAGAATAATGATCGAATTTATGACAAGTATAACACTCAACATGTGACTTGTCAAACTTTCCTTTGTTCCAACCACGCCCTCAACCACAATCTCTGTAATTTTGACCTCTTTGATGGCTTTGATTGAAATGATCAAAATTATTCCATGCTGCCCAAACTGTTTCGTGTCGATATTGTATGTTATGGCGACCACCACGACCATGTCCTCTTCCACGTGAATTTCCACGACTTGTAGCTTCATCGCTTTTTTGGTATTAAGCGACACCGAACTTTGGAACTTGCTCAATTGGCTTCTACATTTTTCTTCTTTTTCCATTCATACGCTGCTTATGGGCTTGTAATGTGCCCGATACTTCATCAACGGCTATGCTCGAACTTTGCCGTTAAAGTTCGCAATATTTTCTCCACCTTGGATTTTTTACTAAAATCATCTCCACATATCTTTATTTGATTTGTTAAAGTCAAAAGACGACTTACATACTCCGCCACCGACTCCGATGGTCCCATCTCAAGAAGCTCATATTGTCGTCTCAATGTTTACAATCGCACTTTCGTAACCTTCACATCACCTCTATATGCCGTCATCAATGTATCCCATGTTTGCTTTGATGTGGTGGCTCCAACAATTTTCTCGAACACTTCATCGGTAATACTTGGTGAATCAGTTATAGGGCCTTTTTATCTTTTTTCTTATTCTCTCGATTGGTTGTCTGATGTGCAGCAGTTGCACCCTCCGGCAATGCTGAAACACCTTCTTCAACAATATTCAGTAATTCATGAAAATCGAAAAGCACCCTCATTTGGACAGTCCATCGATTAAAATTTTTTCCATCGAGAACCAACACGGATAAAGGGATCGAGCTGCTTATGGCTTTGGCTCTGATACCACTAATAGAAAATTAACAAAATATGGAGTAATGGAGGAGGAAAATAAACTTTATTTTTTTTATTCTTTTTACATTACAAAACTATTACAATATATATAAATATATATAATGGATAAACACAAATATTACTAATTTATTATCGAATATTCACTCAATCATATATTATTATATAATTTATTATTCAATATTCACTAAATCAATATATATCAAACTTTATTATATAATCACCAAATTAATATAAGATTATTCTCCATTAATATCATAATTAATATATATATATATATAGGCAAAACAACAAAAAACCCCATGTGGTTTACCAAATCTGCTAAAAACACCCCGTAGTCCTAAAACTCCAAAAATCCTACTTGTGGTTTGTAAAACGTTGCAAAAATTCCGCCCTCCGTTAGATCCTAACGGAGGTTGTATACCACGCGCCTGAAATGCGATTTTTTGTCCATAAAGTGATATATTTATGTGTAAAATTACTGAAATACCCTAATGACTTCTTCTTCCTTTCTTCTCCCTCATTCTTCTTCTTCCTTATTCTTCTTCCTTATTCTTCTTCTTTCTTATTGTTATCCATACTTTCAGAATTTACTCTCAATTTATTTATTTTTATTTAAAATCCGTTAAATACAACCAAATTCGACACCGATCCCAAATTTATCACAATTAATTGACCGGACATGGATCTTCTTCTATTTTACCAAACCCAAAAATATTTCTTCTTGTGTTTTACAAAACCCAGAAATAGCAAACCCAAAAATTTAAGAAATCAATTTGACATCAAGATTTGAAATCAATCTAAGAAGAAAGAAAGAAAGAAAGAAACGGCGTACGGAAGAATTAGGAAGAAAAAATAAAAAAAAAGAAAATTGGGGAAAAAAAGATAGAGAAAGGAGAAAGAAAAACCTGAGAAAAAATAAAGAAGAAAGAAAATTGGAGAAAAAGAAATAGAAAAAGAAAAAAAACTGGAGAAAAAAAAAATTGGTATCCAACCCTTTTTCCTCCTCTTCTTCTTTTCCTTTTCTTCGTTCTTCTCTTTCTTTTCTTCCTTCCTTCTTCCCTACTCCAGCCGCTTCTACCCATCATCTTCTTTCTATTTTTATTCTTTTCCAATTCTTCATTCTTCAAAGAAGAATTGGAGATGAAGAACAAGAAAAAAAAATTGAGGAAAAAGATGTGTGAAGAAGAGTTTGGGGAAGAAAAGAAGATGGAAGAAAGAAGTTGGGGAGAAGAGAAGAAGAATGAAGCGAAGAAGAAAGAACAGAAAAAGAGAGAGAAATAATTGGAGAAGAAGAAGAGAAAAATTGAGGAAGAAGATGTGTGAAGAAGAATTTGGCGAAGAAAAGAAATGGAAGAAAGAGGTTGTGGAGAAGAGAAGAAGAGATGGAGAAAGATCAGAAGAGAGAGAACCACAAGGGCATAACGGTCTGATGATGGTAAAATTTAACGCCGTCAGTGTGATTTAAAAGGGGGGGCGAGTGTGTAATGTTTTACAAACCACAAGTAGGTTTTATGGAGTTTTAGGACTACAGGGGGGTTTTTAGCAGATTCGGTAAACCAAGGGGGGTTTTCTGCTGTTTTGCCATATATATATATATATAATAAAAACGTTCAGAATTTTTAAAACTATTTAAAAAAAGTTTGGATTTTTTCGAAGCTTTTGATTAAAATAAAAAAATATATAATAAAATTTTGAAATTTTCGAGACTATTTAAAATAGATTCGGATTGTTTCAAACCTTATTAAAATTTATTTTTATATATATATCATTAAGGTTTGAATTTTTCGAGACTATTTAAAATTAGGTTCGGATTTTTTGGAACCTTATTAAAATATATATTTATATATATATCATTAAAGTTTGAAATTTTTTAGACTATTTAAAATTGATTTGGACTTTTCCGAACCTTCTTATAAAAATAATATATATAGAAAGGTTCACAAACTTTGAGACTATTTAATTTATTAAATATGAAATATATATATATATATAATAGTCTCAAAATTCCGAAACAATTTTTTAATTAGATATAATTAATATATAAAATTTTCGAAATTCTGAGACCAATTAATGGACTCGGTAACTTCCAAGCCTTTTTTTATTAAAAGAAAATAATATATATGATAAAAATCTTTGTAAATTTCGAGACCATTTGAAATGAACTCGGAAAATTCCTAACCTTATAGCAAAAGTTACAGAATGGCTTCTAAATTTCCGAAACTGTTAAAATAAAATTCATTATGCAAAAACTAGTCTCAAAATTTCCGAAACTTTGAAATTGATGAATTTTATATAAAAAATAGCCTCGAATTTCCAAAACTATAAAAATAAAATAATTTAATATTATTTATATTAATTTTTAGTAGTATCAGAATTGATTTTGAAGCTTTTTCCGAGGCAAATGTCCAAAATTCTGGTAGTGCGAGCGGATAGTCTTCTTGTCAATTCGATCTTCTATAGTCGTATAGGATCAAGTAGGGAAGTCTTCTTATGTATTTTTCAAATGTTGTGTAAGAGGAATATGATAGTCTTCTTATGAAATTTATTGTCACATAGGATTGAATAGGATCGCAATCTTAAAAAAAAAAAAAAATAGAAAAAAAAAAAAGAAGAAGATGAAAAAAGAAAAAACTTACAACAATTGGAATATGCATGAAATTGAGAAAATTAAACAAATTTCATATCTAACAAGCATTACATGATTGTCTAATATTTCTAACTAATTCATTGATAGGATGATTATAGTTTTGTTCTTTTTTATTTCACTACTTTAAATAAAAATATGATGATTAATTTTGCATGTAACAGATCAAATTCAATAACTATTTGACCTAAAAATCAATAACTTTCAATAATTATTTTTCTTGAGATATCTATAGAGTTCTTCATCTCAAACTCATTAATTCTTTAGCGTCTTCTTCAATTATGAAATGGTCGATTGTTTCTTGTTGCTCTAAGGAAGTGCTCAATGAATGATGATATAACCATTTAAATGGTGTAAAATTTGTTAACATTTAATTACGACATATTATAAATCAATTTTATTGAGTGTAGTTAATGTGCTGAAATATATGTATTATTTGAAAATATGTGTTAGCCATCAGTTTTTCTAGTGTGACTTTCCCGTCGAGTCTGATTTGCAGGGTATTAGGTTCGGCCAGGGGTTTTACCTAGTGCGCTGCGGGTTCCCGCGTCATAAAAAAAAAAAAAAAAAAACAGATTAAATTTATTTTCGTGATCTAATATGGTTTCATAGCAATTTTGGAAGATTTTAGGTGAAACCAAGAAGGGGAAATAAGACATGAGCATAACTAATGTAGTCCTTGGGCAAATTTGCAGTTTGATTTATGGAATTATTCTCATGCAACACAACCAAAACAAACAATTTTCTCTAAAATTTATCTGCCTTGCATTTCCTTATTTATTAGGAATGTGTTTCCTATGGTTAGGGTTTGATATAGTTTGATATGGTATATACATTATAGGGTCGTATTATATATTGTATGAACTTTTTTGGTACATCCAGTTTTATAGCGGTACTTAGAGCCGTCAAAATAGGCTTAGCTCGTCGGATTGACCCGCCCCGCCTTACTTTTAAGGAGGATTGTGTTGTGATTTTTTAAGCTCGTTAAAATGCAAGCCTAAATGGGCCAGCTCGTGTGGGCCGCGGGTTGAGGGTAGTTTAGCCCGCGGGCTAATTAAATATAATAATTAATACTCACCCGTCTAACTAAAAGTATATTTTTACCATTTTTTACTGTCATGTTAAAAAATTATAATAAAATTAATCAAATATTAATATCAGAATATATTTTAATTTTATATAAACTATAAATATACCATTATAAATACAATTAATTTATAAATAACGTACAAAAGTAAAAAGTATCAAAATCATCTTGTACACTTTATTTTATGAATAATGTATGATTATTTTTAATCTACTAAAAAGAAATATTTTAAGTTAAGACGAATAAAATAAAATTTAAATTTTCATTAGTTTAAATAAATTATAAATATTGTATACACACTTATTTTTCTTCTGTTATCCATGTCATAGTTATTTGTTTCAATTTTTTATCATTTGTTTTGTTCGTCTTTCATTTTATAATTTTACAAATTTATAAAATTAATTATGATTTCTTTTTAAGATGGAGTATTTCTTATTATTAATTTTTTTAAATACACCAACTAAATTGAGAATTTTTATATTTGTTATTTATTTTAAAATATTTATTATTTAAATTCTATAATAACACTATTTTTAGCTATTTTAAAATATTAATTACGAAAATATTATAATATTAATATTTTTTTAATATTTTAAAAAAGCCTGTGGGCTAGCCCGCTTAGCTCGCAACCCGCTGGTAGGTTGGGTTAGACTGATGAAATTTTGATCCGCTCCACCGCGGGTTGACCCGCAAACAACCCGCTTATTTGCGGGTTAGGGTAGGTTGTAGGTCAATCCGCCCCGCTAACCCGTTTTGACACTATAGGGTGTGTTTGTTTGAGGGTTTGGATTTTGAGTTGAGATTTGAATAGTAAAAATTTTGAATTTGAATAGTTGTATGATGTGATATAAATAGGTGTTGATGTGATGTTTTGAATGTAAAATTGATTTTTAGCATAATATAAAAAATGAAAAATAGATGTTTGATTTGATGTTTTTGGGGAGAAAAAAATTAGATGAACAGTGTAAATCCAATCCAATCCCAAAAAAAACACACCCTATATCAAAAACTACGATTTAGTGAAGTTTGGTATACCAAAATTTCATACCCATGCCCACAAAAAATTTAGTATATACTAAAACTTTATATGTATATGAAAAATAATCCAAAAAAAATTATACATACTAATATTATACTATATATCAAAAAAAATAATATATACGGAAAGCTATATTGAAAAAGTTATATATATCAATATAGTAACGTATGTGTTTGGTTTGATTTCAAACTCAAATATTTATTGTTCAGTCGGAACAATGTTCAATAGAAATATATTATTTTTTCTCACAAAATATTATATCAAAAATATTATTTAAATAAAATTTTTAAAAAAATCCTAAATTTAAACTCAAACCAAACAAACCACATATTTGAAAATTATATACTAATATTATGTCAAATATTTTCACACAACATCGATTCTGCAGCAAAAGTGTCCGTATATTGAAATTTTCGACAAATTTGATATTTTTTGATAGGATAAATTTAGTACACTTAAATATTTAGTATTTTAGACATTCTAAGATGGATAATATATTATTGTCGAGCTCAATTAATTGTTTACCTTGGGTGCGTTTGGCAATTAGCTGATAGTTTTTAGCTGTTAGCTGATTCAATTAGTTGTTAGCTGATTTAATTAGCGGTTAGCTGATTCAATTAGCTGGTTTGACTAACTGATTCAATTAGCAGTTTGTATTAAAGTGTTTGCTAAAATAACTGTTTGACATTAACTGTTTATACATAAAATGACTATTAAGGACATTGATATGTTATTTTTTAAAATATTTAATTTTGTTCATTTTGGTTTGAAATTTATGAGAATTTTTGTTATTAATTATTGAAAATTATAAAAATATTATAAAATATTTATTTTTATTTTTATTATTTCGATCTGAGAAAATTATTTTTACTAAAAAATAATAATTTTTTATTGAAATGATGTAAAATATAAAATAATAAATCTTTCGTATATATATTTTTATTATGTTAATTTTTGTTTTAATATATATAAAATAATTAATAACCTTTTTTTTTATTTGATTTAGTTTTAAAAATTTATATATTTTAAAAGTAAAATAATTATATGTAATAATTAATAATAGTAATTATTTTAAATTGAAAAAAATAAAAATATAATTTAATAAATTAAATATATTAAAAATAATTAATAAATACTGCTATGAAAATATAGTTATATGTATAAAATAAATAATTAAGTTTTAAGGGTAAATAAAGAATAACCAAAATTAAAATGAAAAGGCTCTTTCAAATCCTGGGCAGATGAACTTTCAGAAATTAGCTTTTTGAGTTCAAGCTCTTTCAAAAAGCTAATTTATCAAACACAAAAATTAATTTTTTGACTGATCAAACAGCTAAAAACTGTTCAATAAAAAAAATAAAATTCCCAAACTTATTTAGAGTTTGGGTAGTATAAAAAAGGAAAACAAAAAAATAAAATTAAAGTAGAAATAAATGGGGTATGGCACACCAAATCAGGGTTCTAACTGATTAGTTTGTAGCATAAGATGATCAGCTGGTAGTTACGAGTATTATTAGACAAAAGTATTCAAACAAACTGAAAGTTCTCTTCAAGAAAGCTGACTGATAGACACACTACGCACATCTTCAACTTCAAGAACACTCTGATGGCTTCTTTTTTATCATCTTGTCGACTCGTAAGTTCTCTTCACTTAATCACCTCTCTTCCAAATTCACTTCACGATTCGGTGTTCTTTAATTCGATCTGGATGGACTTCGATTTAGTTTCGAGTGTTATTTGATGTTTTGTGGAGAAGATCGGTACGCTGAAAATTTGTTGTTAATCGTGAAAATTCTGTTTCAAATTAAACTTTGATCTGTTTCGCATATGCCATTCATGAATTTTTCTTGTTGAAATGTGATTTATTTTCAGTTTCTTATGGTAGATTGTTGTAAAGATTGTATGCAATCGATTGCAGGTTAATGTAGCATCTTATACTTATGTTTCGATTTCGTGTTGTTGTTTCGACATATTGTCGCAGAGAACGAGAAATCCATTTCGGGACGACGAATATCTGCCCATTAGTTCAGATTCTTCGATTCCAGTTTGTGGCCTACCAAGAGTCCGTGTTACCGGCATTCCGGAGCAGAAAGAAAATGTTGGGCGAGAATCGCCGGATAAGTTTGACGTTCTTGTTCAGATAAAGGCGCCATCCATGTCCGAATATCCAGAACATCCCCTGAAGCGCGCACCTATAGACCTCGTTATGGTGCTCGATATTAACGAACGTGTCGACGCAATAATGCTGGCTCATATCAGAAATTCTGTTTGTTTCGCTATTGATAACTTGGGCGAGCTAGACAGGCTTTCGATAGCGTGGTCTTGCCCTCGGAGAATTTTTCCCCTGCGCAGAATGACCGAGAAAGGACGCAAGTACACGAAGCAAATTGTTAGAGCGCATGTCTTCGCTGACGGTCCAACCGATGCTGTCGAAATTCTAATGACGGCTGCTCGGATTCTCGAGCAAAGGCGATATCGGAATACGGCGGCGTTCATCATAATCTTGTCTAATAGGAAAGAGCCTCCGGCGTCATCGACGAATCGAGAAGAGCCTCTAGACTACCTCGATAAACTACCGGATTCCATCTATCCCTATCCAGAAGCGAATAACGCCAAACGAGACGTATTTCCGGTTTATTCATTTGGCATTGGCGTCGACCACGAACCTGTAGCGCTGCACACGTTATCTTCGACAACAGGCGGGACTTACTCATTTGTCGAGACGACGGAAATTCTGCAAGATGCAATCGCCTATTGCATCGGTAACCTGCTCGCCGTAGTCAATGTAGATTTTAGTATTACGTTTACGCGAGGCACGGCTGAGGTTGTGCTTGTAGATGTCAAGGCCGGCGACTACTATACTATCGTCCGCGGCAAGGGATCTTCAGGAGATATCAAAGTACAGAACCTCTTTGCCGATGAGACGCTATCGTTTCTGATTGATGTCGCTGTCAATAGACGCACGGTCGAGCGAATGGAATCGCACCTAATTTTGGACTGGAAATACAAGGACGCAGTGGTGTCGAGTGGAGTGGGAGAAGTGCAATATCGTTGCACCATCGACTTGCATCCCATAAGTAACATCGCGGAAGTCGAACTTAATCGGAAGAGGACGCTGCTGCTCGGCGCGGACTGGATCGACAACGCCTTAAAGATAGCAGAAGCTAAAGGGGTGAAAGATGCGAAGAACTTTTTGTTCACCGAATGCCGAAACTGCAGCGACAGTGTGTATATGTGGATTTTGGAAAGGATTCGCGAAGTGGCGCGACGAATGGCTGCAGAGGACGGGATGGTTAGAACAGGTTGGCAGGCTTTTGGGCTATCAACTCTGAGCGCATGCGACACGCAGAGGGCGGCCACTACGGGCAGCCGCGCACAAGGGGCCGAGTTTGATCCATTCGGGACACCAAATACGGTGGCTATGGTGACGAAGTCGAGATCGGTACAAAACTAGATGTTTCTAATCATCGAATTAAGAGACCATTCGTTCATTTTTGTATCTCTTTTGTGAGCAACTCAACGTTTCCTTCGAATTTTTGCTTCGTCATTTCACTACATACTTTGGGGTTTAGCACGAATCCATTGTACAGCGTATATGAACTTGAACTTGATGGACTAAAAACTTTTCAATCTTTTCACACTGAATTTTATTGTGGTATATATGAAAATATGGTAATGTAGGATGTTTAAGAAATAGAAAAATTAGAATATGATACACATGGCTCTATTAATATCAGATCCTATAGTCTTTAATTTAACAGATATTTCATATAATATTTGTAAATAAAATTAAATATTTGATATTATATTTTTTATTGTATACATATATATATCATGAAATAAAATTGAAAGCAAAATTTAATACTATAGTGGTTGTTATCTAGCGCAAAAATACATACTTATAAACTCCAAACTAAGCACAATAGCTTGCAAGTCATATTTTTAGTACAAAGTGTGGATAGCCAATGAGTGTAGGGGTGGTGGACTGAGCTTTAGAATTTCGGGTTTGGATTTTGAGTTAGAGATTTGAATAATACAAATTTTGAATTTGAATAGTTGTATGATGTGATATTTTGAATGTAAAATTGATTTTTAATATAATATAGAAAATAAAAAATAAGCGTTTGATTTCATATTTTTGGGGGAAAAAATTGAGATGAACAGTGTATTTAAAATTCAATCCCCCAAACAAACACACCTAATGGACTAAAAGATTTCCAAACTTTTTTATTAGAAACTTAATATATATTTCCTCCGTCTCAATTCAAAATACGCTTTTTTACCATTTTCCCCACTTTCCTATTTTAGAAAAAAATAATCATACACTATAACCAAAATACCCTCAACTTTTACTTAAATTACAAATATATACCATTGACATATAATTACTTTATACAAAAAGTCAAAGGGCAAAAATGTAAAATATTTCACATACTTCTACTAAATAATAAAATACTATTATTTTTTAATATACTACAAAACCTCAAAAAGACCCCTTTCAAAGGGGGGCCGAAAGGAGTATATAATAAAGTTTCTAAAATTTTGAGATCATTTAAAATGGACTCGGAAAATCCGAACATTATAGCAATAGTCACTGAATGGCTTCGGATATTCTTTGTTTTTTAAATTAAATAATATTATAGAGAAAATAGTCTTGAAATTTTCAAAGCAATTAGAATAAAAAAAAGCATTTAGTATTATATTTTAGTAGTATCGGATTTCATTTAGAAGCTTTTTCCGAGGCCTATTTCCAAAATTCTGGTAGTGATTACCATATCGATAAATATATAAATATTTTGATATAAGTTTTGTTATACATTATAATTTTATTGTACAATATCAATATGTATAACATTTTTCGTATATCTTTCATATGTACAAAAACATTGTATACCAAAATTTTCATGCGGCATCAATATGAAATTTCGGCACACCAAACTTCAATACACTGAAGTTTCTGATACAGTACTATCGTTGTAAAATTTGGCATATATACCCAAAAAATTGATACAATATATTCTACAACCTTATAATTTGTTATATACTGTATCGAAGTATCTCTAACCCTAAGAATTTATAGTAAGCATATCATTAATAAATTAAGAAATCCAAGAAAGAAAGAAAAAAATTGTTTGTTTTTGTTGCTACAAGCATATAATTCCATAGTTCAAACCCCAAATCTGCCCCTTCATGGACTACATTACTTATGCTCGTGTCTAATTTCCATAAGACTTACATCACAAAAACAATTGATTTAAAAGAGAGCAAATCGATCCCGGTTTGTCTTAGCCAACACATAAAAACTTACAGACTACATGTTTTCAAGTAATACAAAATATAGTGTATTATTTGAAAACACAAAAATTCTATAATAATGTATTTTGAAATAAATGATACCTGAGTAATTTTTTTCATTGATGGCACGGGTGTTCCCGGTAGGTCATATTTAAGGAGTATTGTATATAAACATATATTCTATATTGTAATCAAAGATAGTATATGTGTTGAGTATATTATTATTATCATATCTTATTAGCTCATATATTATATTTGTATTATGTTGATGTTTTATCTATCATATTATTTGTTATTTATCGGTACTATGATAAATTTTGTACATTATAAAATTTACCACAGTAATTGCTATTAAAATTGATTCGTAATGTGCTCCAAAATAAATGTTCACAAATTATGCCATTTGAATGGTATATATAATTCATTGATGACTTCCTAATAGCAAGATGAAACAATTGGCTATTTCAAAATTGACAAAGATGCTAAAGAATTACTCCTAATGAATTTGAGATGAACTATGAATATATAAAGAACATTGAGGAAAAAAAAAAAAAACCTTGAGAAGGTTCCAAAGACATGAAAGATTAATTGTAAACTGGTGAGAACTTTGAAAATTTCCTTAATTTTTAGGTCAAATAGTTATTGAATATGATATATTATATACAAAAACAATATATTTTCATTGAAAATAGTGAAATAAAACAAAAAACAAAAAATAAATAAATCAAAGAGAACAAAACTATAATTCTCCTGTCCCAACATTTCCTCAGCTCCAACTTTGGCCTTTGAGCTCATCTTCATGTTGTTCCATCTTAGAATAGAGTTCAACAAATAGCTCCATAATTCACACTGGTTGTGATACAATATTTTAGGATTCTTACAACCAAGATTTCAAAATCAATTCATTGAGTGTAAAATGTAATCATAACACATGCAAAATTGAAGTTTAAACAATAATAAAATAAATAAAATTAAAATGTTTTGCAAACGGTAAATATAACTTTTGTTTTTGTTTTTTTTCAATACTTTTAAAGTTGAGCACATAATGATAAACTTAAACTAATGATACTTATAATTAAAAGAAAATGAAAATAACAATCGACTCAAACAATTTAAAGATCACATTTTACTTTGATCACTTAATTAATAAATATAGAATTTTAATAGTGAAAACAAGTGACAGTCAAATAATTTAAAAGCTAATGTGCTCCTCCTTGATGACAATTTGAGCACATGGAAATAGCGGTGACTAATATAATTTGATAAAACCCCTGTCCCAACAAACTTATCGTTGTATACACAATTATTTAATATAAAACACAACCTCGAGTAGATTAGGAAAGAAGTAAGTACACTGAATGCAAATATATGGAGACATCCTCGTATTAGCTTGTAATTTCTCTGAACACATCAAAATTAATTTATTCTTCACAACTTCGCAAGTAACAAAAAGAAGATGAAGAAAGAAAAAATCGATTGCTAAAAAACGAGATCAAATTATGCATATCACCTCAAAATAAACAGTCCTAACTCAAAACATTCCAAATCCAAATCTGGTGAAGATCTGCAGAAAATTGGTCACAACCACCAAAATTATAGGAATGGATCTGCATGATAGAAAAACCTATTTCCCAGATCAACGAAAACAACAACAAAAAATGACGCAATTGACATAAACATTGATATATTAGACAAGAAAATTCAGATTAGCAAAAATCTAAAAAATAGAAAAGACTTGAACTTGAGAGAGAGAGAGGGTGAGAGAGAGGAGAAGGATGAAGTTGAGGGCCAGCAGGAGATGGACACGGAAATATATTTGTTGCTTTAACCATGGTGAATACTGTAAGTTTAAACTTAACCCTAGTACTTATCATTTATTTTTATTTTTATTTTCAGTTTATATTATTATTATTATTATTATTATTATTATTATTATTATTAACTGATGATAAACTTGAAAAGATACTGAGATATTTTAATATTTACAAGATTTTGAATTACATTTTCTATAATTCTATAATATTGACAACAAAAAATATTGAAACTTTAATATTTTTTATTATCTTGCTTTCGAAAAAAGTAATATTTTATTTTATTTTTTATTTTCAAAATTTAAAAACAATGGCAAACTAGTTTTGAAAACACCACAAACCGAACCAAAAAACAACACTCCTTGATTAGGTTTGCAATTGCAAAATGAAATTAAAGTTGATTTCTCCTTAGGCAGATTGAAACCAATCAAAGACCTTCAAATTAAACCCATGTTGCGAAAATTAGAAAATCAAGAAAAATGCACAAGAACATAAAAATTTGTTGATCCACTTCGATCAGAATCATCTAAGGTCTCATTAGTAATTTTCAGGTGTTAATTATAAAGGAAAACATGAGATGTATATGTATATATATATGTAGGCCAAATCTTAGCATGCGTCCCAATGCATTGTACGGACGGCCCAAGGGCTGGATTTACAGTATCTCAGTCGACAAAAATCTTGTGCCTTTAGTGCCTTTCTTGGAACTCAAAGTGAAAGCAATATTACCCATGTAAAATACATAACTCGACGTACTTTTTTGATCATCAATGTTGCCTCCCCAATCACTATCACTATAGGCAATCAACTTGAAATCGTCATAAACATAAAAAGACAAGCCATAATCCAGCTGTACCTTTGATGTATCTCAATATTCTCTTGGCTGCCTTTAGGTGAATTTTGTTGGATAAATAATCCGGATTGAATAAAAATAAGAACAAATCAAATTCTGCAGGGTATACACGATCTTGAATATACTTTGAGTCGCATAGATTCCCTTTCCTTATCCGATATTTCTGTTGACTTATTTTTCCTTAATGTGGAAGGGCATTTTGTTAACTTCATATATGGATAATCAACCTAGGTATAAATTTGATATTGAGTGGATTAGGATTAGAGAGTGATTACGAAAGGTGCAGCTGCCACTTTGCTCTCCGTGTGCGCAGTCTCGGTAAAACAATGATCTACGTATATCCAACCGTTGGATCGTCCCCAAATTTATGCAGAAGGTTTTTCGCTCATATTTCTACATTCTGAACGATGGAGATTGGAATCGGATTATCAAAAGTTCTGATATAGACACGAACAAAGAGCTCTGTTCCCTCCCAGATTCTTTCGGACTAGTTTC